TCACGACCGCAAGGTCGTGGGTTCGATATCCAGTACGGGCAAGGAACTTTTTTCAATATTTTATTTACGAATTAAATATTGTAAAAGTTTCGGAGCATCGGCTGGGGATAGTCCTGCACGATTCGCTGTTGCGTTCCAATTAACAGTGCTGCTCCTAAAGTGGCGCATGGAGTTAGTAACAAAGCCTACACAGAACACGCAGAAAGATATGACGATGTGGTTGTGAGCATCAGAGAAGAAGTAGGACGGTGTATGTAGGTGGGTGTGGAAAACTACCAGCTGAGCGTGAGAGCGGGCCAGCTGCTTAAGTAGACCTCGGTCTCGGGGGTTAACGATGATAGTTAGCAGGCCTGCCACTACGCATATGGTAGTGAGTACATTACTAGCCTACGTGTATGTAGGTGGGTGCGGAAAACTACCAGCTGAGCGTGAGAGCGGGCCAGCTGCTTAAGTAGACCTCGGTCTCGGGGGTTAACGATGATAGTCAGCAGGCCTGCCACTGCGCATATGGTAGTGAGTACATTACTAGCCTACAAAACACAGCTGAAAAACTCTGAAAAGAGAGCTGATGGGCGGTGCCTGAAAAAGGATGTTAGCCAGCTCTCTTGAGCGAACCACATCAGTCATTGAAAACACTTGGGGTTGGCAAAAAGGTCCCATTGGGGACTAGTTGCTGACGTGGAAACGTCCCCCACCAGTACCAGTACCAGTACCAGTACATTGGAGAAAATTGCGATTGATAATCTGTAACAGTTAGTTTCGAAAATAATTTTTCCGTCGACCTCGTATTAACGACTAAGTTTAATGTATATGAAATCGTTCATTAATGACCCCTATTAATGAACGATTTGTCTATTAATTCACGATTGTTTTATAGGCAACCAAACATACACCGCGTGCATTCATTGTTTATGCTATAACTTACGGAATCTGCATTTAAATCGAAAATTTTCCGTTAACAGGTTCGCCTTTCCAAGTTTCTGACACGATTTTAAGTTTTTTAACACGAGGAATTCATTTTCTATGTTGATCATTTCGACAAAAAATGTCAAATGTCACTAATGTCAGTAACAAGGCTACTGGGTGATTCTTAGCAGTTTCCGGATGAATGATGAATTCGCGAATGAAAGTTTTCTTCATTGCAGGAGGAATGAGAAATATAGTCGACGGAAAAATTTTGTAACCAACTTATCAATGATCCCGAACATTAACGCGCTCGCTTCGCTCGCACGTTGAATACACTAGTTGGTTGAATAACTATGAACGAGGGGAAGATATTGGAAAATATTTTTTATTAATCATCTTTGAAGGTTATATCAATTGATCTTGGATTTACCACTTTTATATTCATATCTCAGTAGTGAAAACAATGTTCTACGTTTGATGCTCTATTTATTTCAACTGAACAGGAAGTAATGTTATCGTCTCCGTTCAGAAGAATGCAAGCAGATTCTTTGATAACAACTGAACCAGCACAACTGATATATTGTGAGTTGGAACTATATTCGAGTTATAAAGACTCAGCCACTATATTCCTTTTCTGAGATGATTTAGACATTCTGAGTGAGCTTTTGAAATGTTCAAAGAGAAGAATGTATCAAATTCTCTTTGAGTCGATGAAATTCTCTCCATTGATTCATTCCTAGTTGATTCCTCTTGAGTCATCTGCGATCTTCGCTGAGTCTTTGGAAAACATGAGAAAATAGCGTTCGAAAACTCTCAAGACAACCTTGGTGAGACTCTGGTTAATGTTGTCATGGAAATTATCTGAGTCAGCAGAGCTACTCGGAGTACAGTAGGTAGCAGATTTATTGTCAGGATAATTAGAGTTTGAGAAGTTATATGTTCATTTCGAGTGCATTATCTAAGAACACAATTGGAGAAATCATGATGATATTGCAGTTGAGATACAAAATGATAGGTAGCTAGATTTATACGCTTGGTTATAAATGATCGTTATGACACAAGGATAAAAAAAATCCTGGAATTTCTCTCAAGACAAATGAGATTATTTTCGTGGGTACAATTTTATTCCTCATTGGGCATTTGAGGTTGATCGAAGGAGTTGGATAATCAATGAATTTTTCTTCTCTCGTCTGAATTGATGAAAATAAAAGTATTATTTCAATTCATCAAGTGCCGCAAGGATGAATCAGATGATTAGCCCCATGAATTTCATATAAGAGTGCCTTGGAGGAAAATTTGATCGACAGTCAGTAACACTAATTGTCCATCATCTGTGAAATTGGAAAAAAAATTGTTTCCGTTTTCAAAATGATAAAGAAAACATAATCATTGAAAAACTGTCTCCGGACTTCTGTATGACACTTCCCAGTGACGAGAGTTTATAGCAACAAGTGGTTCATAGAATGTTTATATCAATTGATTTCGAATTTACCACTTTCATATTCATATCTCAGAAGTGAAAACAATGTACTACGTTCGATGTTCTAGTTATTTCACCTGAACAGGAAGCTATGTGCGTTTCCGTTCAGAAGAATGCAAGCTAGTTCTTTGATAACAACCAAACCAGTACAACTGAAATATTTTGAGTTGAAAATATATTCGAGTTATAAAAACTTAGCTACTGTATTTCTCTCCTGGAATGTTTCCGACTTCCTCAGTAAGTTTTGAAATGATCAAAGAGATGAATTTATTTAATTTTCTCTTGAGTCGATGATATTTTGTACATACATTCATTCCTAGTCGTTTCCTCCTAAGTCATCTTCGATCTCTGCTGAGTCTTGAGAAATATGAAAAATCGCGTTTGAAAACTTGTGAAACAATTGTGCGAAGTCTCTGGTTGATGTTCTCATGGAAATTATTTGTGTCAACAGGGCTACTTGGGACACAGAAAGTACCTGTTTCAATCACGTCATCAGGCTGCTGGTTCTGAGTATATATGGAATATGTAAAAACTTCACAAACGATAAGATTTCCACAAAATTTATTAAACACACGACATGTTTCGCTAACACAGTAGCAGCAGTAGCAATGTACAACATTGTACCAGTATATCACCTGACGAAGCTACTGTGTTAGCGAAACATGTCGTGTGTTTAATAAATTTTGTGGAAATCTTATCGTTTGTGAAGTTTTTACATTAATCATGGATTTCCATCTAGTAACGGCCGAGTCAATTCAAAATATATGGAATATATCATCTATATTTCAAGTGAATCAGACTAGTGGTTATATCATATTCATAATTCGATGAAACTCTATAGAATATGAGAGCCAATATCTCAACCCTCTGTTTCTTCATTGGGTGCGATAATATGAGTGACTCATCGCCATAATATCAATTACTCTGCTTTGTTCGTTGGTAGAAGTCCATGGTAAATCAAAGTGTAGTGGTGTAGTTCATAGATATAAACCCAGAGTCATCTCCACAATATTTATTAGAATGATCAAAGATCAATTGTAACAAAACTTGTTTCGGGCTTATATAATCCCACCATGAGCCAATTATAGTATAATATATATAAAGACAGCTATAACTTGAGATCAACTGATATGTACAGAAACAAACTATCACGAACAAAAAAAGGTCAAAATTCTCCTATTTATCAAAGCATAAAAATGTATAATCTTATTCCAAAAACTGTATTTGAAGGAAGTGAGAAGGTAGTATATCATAACCTCACGAAGTATTATAAAAGTAGTAACAGTGTAGATGAGTAGGCACATATTGAATTTGAAGTGTTAAGGATTTTAGTTTTAGAAACATTGTTATCTATTATTCTGTTGTATTTAGTCCTTGTTGCCAGATCTTTGTTATCTGATTTGAGGTCAGAAATAAATTCTATGAAAAAAAAAAATGTAACAAGTGTTATGAACGTCCTTTTAGTAACGAGTATTTTGAGCACGCGCGGAGCAGAGCGGAGCGAGTGTTCAATAAACGAGTGTCTAGAAGAGTTTATTGATGAATGAAATTGACATTAACCTACCAGCTATTCCTGCTAACCAACAAAATAATTCGAAAGGAATGGGAATTGAGAACATAATACATGCAACTGCATGCAACCAGCGAGATACGTATAAGTGATATTGGTTGTAGATGTGTCTAGTCCATTGCTTACTAACCTTTGTTTCACGTTTGTTATCATGCTTAGCGCAGAATAAATGAATTGTGCTCAAAAATGGATTCATTTTTACACTTCTTGGAGATATGCAAGTACCAGAACATTCTCTTCGATTTCACTTTCGCCTACATTTCGCATATATTTTTAATGAAGAATTCTGATACAAACGAATATTGTTCGAATAATTCTGATACAAAATTTGAAAATAACAGTTGTCAGTGAATACAATTGACAGGCCAGACATGTCTCAAATTACTGAAGCTGTGTTCAATGAACTGTGTTGCCATGGTAATGTGTTGAAGAAATCGTGTTGCCATGGTAACGTGTTTAATAATTTTAATAAATCACAGATCGTCAATTCGTGATTAATCGATCATTTAGCGTGGTACATATCCGTACGCTAAATACCATTTTAGTTATGTGAGTAGAAAATAAGAAATGATGGAAGTAGACATACAAATGATATAGTTAATAACAGGGCAAACAGGGAAATATGCTTCATGATCTGGAAAACAATGTTATGTTCCATTTTCTGCTTGACTTGACATTTGAAATTTTTTGACGTCTGTCATCGAATTCATCTCACGTAAATGTGATTCTTTCACTTCATCAGGTTAATTTTGATACCTCATCAAACTTTTCTCAGTACCGATTTTTCCAGAACTATATTACTTTCTATTGGCTGATGATGGGCTTATATAAGCCTGAGACATGTTCCGTTACGATTGATTTTTTGATCATTTGATATATATTGTGGAGATGACTTCGAGTTTTCATCTATGTACTCTGATTTGGATTATAGTACTATTCTCATGAAATACTAGTGTTCACCGACATTTCTTGCATCCTCATAAGGAATAAGTAATCCTTCAACGCTCTCTCAGATGCAATGATTCAATGTTATTCGATGGTTACCTGAAGAATAGCTGATGAAATTGTGTGGCGAACGAGGTGAACAGACATCCCAGAGCAGTGATCAGTCCTCCCATGACTGCAGTTACTCTGGTGGATTTCCTTCTGCAGAACGCTATGGTCACTGGGGAAATGAGAAGAGCCACTCCAGTAGACATCGCACCTAGCCATCCTGAAACAAAAGAAAATACCATCAAACAGGAATCTGAACAAATCAGATAATAACTTCACTGAACTTCAATATACAAGTTTCGAAAATGTTCGTGAGTATTGTTTTGGTCTCTCTCAGTGGATGCTATGAAACGGTCAGTTAAATGCCCCTGATATCAGTATTATGTTGAATATTGAGTCGGTTTGCTAGAAAATCAGAAGATGAAACACATTGAGAACCGTCTCAGAATATTACAGCAGAAAATGAGTTGGGAAGTTTGTTATACAAAGTGGCATTTTCTAGTACGAACCAGATCCTTAGGCGTAGGAAGTTCCCAGATAGCTGGTTCAACGACAATAATTTTTGATTGCCATTCACTGATGGTATATCAAGATTCAGTCCTCTAGTATAATGGTTCAATTGTTCTCATGACTTTTTGGGGATAGACGACTGCACTGGAGTATCTGAGCTAGACAGCTCTGTACATTGCGGATTACTATATTTCACCAACAATAGAAATCAGAAAGAAACGAAAGACCAACTACTGGACCTGGTGTAACTTAGTTAAGTACTTCATTTCCGATATTTTCCGCTGTTGCTGTCGATGTTATGTTTAATTGAAGACAAAAAGACAACCCTCTGATGTTGTGGAAATATCTTCCGTTGGAATATCTGGAAAAATACCTATACATTTCGAAGGAACGACTCAACTCAACTAAATCATAGGTTCAACTCTGGATGAATAGTTGATCTCTAGAATAAACGGTGTTCAAATGATAATCCAGCACTATTGTCCAATGCCCAAATAGATAATGTTCTCTATATTCAGATTTTTATACCTCCGAAGGTCATTTTACACGTATTTCATCTTGTCAAAAATCTCAGATTTTACTTACTAACTACTCAAATTAGTTACATATCAAGCCTTGCTGATGGTATGTTTCCATTGATATTACGTGTAAATTTCATGTGTTTCTCCTTTTATGTTTATTTCATCAGCTGGTTTGAGGTTTCGTAGCGAATAGGGTGTCATTTCAATATAAAACTAGCATTCTGTATAACCTAAGCTTCGGGACATTGAGGTGAATTCAATTCACCCAATCACGAAAGTTTCACTTTTCCATAGAATACAAAAGGTCTGTTGATTTTTTGCGAAAGTAGAGTAGAGCTCGAATTCGAAGAGAATCGATAAATAATCGAATGTGGTATTATCAACTAGTAGTACTCACGTTCACAAAATATCCATTTTATTTCCTTGATTTCCCTCAATGCGTGAAATAAGTTCGATTTATTATTTTCGAAATCCACAGCTATCTCGATCTTGTTGAGCACCTTCATGTACAGCATTTCAGTCCAGGCGACCATACCGAGCGCCACAACAAAATTGTCGATAATTTCGAAAAATGTATCACTTTAGTCAGTATTGAACAATCTTACAAATCAAATGAGCAACAGGTCACCTCAGTCTCTATTGGCAATAAAGAGGTTGATTCAGTTTCTGAATAGAGTATCAAAATGACAATCATTTCTAGAAGTGCGAAGAAAATAACATAGCTTTGTTTCCGTACCTCTTAGAAACAACAATATTGTCGACAGTTTCGGAAACATTCATCACTCGAGTCAGTATTGAACAACTTTACAAATCATATAAGCAACGAGCCACCTTGTTTCCAATTGACAATAAGAGAATCACTTCATTTTATTTTTATATTATCTGAATAACAATTAGTCTCTGAAGTGCAAATAATTTGATATATTTTTTGTTGTCAAAGCTCTCAAAAATACTCTAGAACTCCAACGAACACAATCGACGTTTACCTGTGGGATCCTTCACCGCCATCCTGAACTTGTTGATCACCTCCAGGTACATCATTTCAGCCGGGGCGACCATATCGAGCATGAAAACAATATTGTCCACAATTTCGAAAAATTTATCACTTGAGTCAGTATTGAACAATCTTAAAAATAATATAACCAACGAGTCACCTTGGTACCAAGTGGCAATAAAAGGGTCACTTTAGTTTCTGTATGAAGTAGTCTTTGAGGTGCAAAGAACAAACACGATCGACGTTTACCTGTTGGATCGTTCACAGCCATTCCAAACTTGTTGACCACGTTTAGGTACAGCATTGCAGCTGAGGCGACCATACCAAGTGCCACAACAATATTGTCGACAGTTTCTAAAAAATTATCACTCGAGTCAGTATTAGACAACCTTACAAATTATATAAGCAACGAGCCACCTTGTTCTCAATTGACAATAAAAGGGTCAATTGAGTTCCTTTATAGAGTATCTAAATAACAATTAGTTTTTGAGGTGCGAAGAATTTGATATACTTTTGTTGTCGGAGCTCTTAAGAACACTCTAGACCTCAAACAAAGACGATTTACGTTTACCTGTTGGATCCTTCACAGCCATCCCAAAATTGTTGAGCACCTTCAGGTACAGCATTTTAGCCAAGGCGACCATACCGAGCCCCACAACAATATAGTCGACAGTTTCGAAAAATTTATTACTCGAGTCAGTATTGAACAACCTTAAAAATCATATAAACCTTGGTCCCAATTGGCAATAAGAGGGTCACTTCAGTTTCTGTATAGAGCATTTTAATAACAAGTAGTCTTTGAAGTGCAAAAGTGCAAAGACATTGATATATTTTTGTTGCCGGAGCTCTCAAAAACACTCTAGAACTCAAACACGATCGACGTTTACCTGTTGGATCATTTACAGCCATTCCTAATTTGTTGAGCACGATAAGGTACAGCAGCTGAGGCGACCATACAAAGTGCCACAACAATATTGTCGACAGTTAGGAAAAATCTATCACTCGAGTCAGTATTGAACCACCTTACCAATTATATAAGCAATGAGCCATCTTGTTCCCAGTTGACAATAAAACTGCCACTTAAGTTTCTTTATAGAGTATCTAAATAACAATTAGTCTTTGAAGTGCATATAGTTTGATCAATCTTTGTTGTCGGAGCTCTTAAAAACACTCTAGAACTCAAACAAACACGATTGACGTTTACCTGTTGGATCCTTCACAGCCATTGCGAACTTGTTGAGCACGTTTAGATACAGCATTGCAGCTGAGGCGACCATACCAAGTGCCACAACAATATTGTCGACAGTTTCGAAAAATTTATAACTTGAGTCAGTATTAAACAATTTTACAACTGAGCGACGAGTCACCGTTATCCCTATTGGCATCAAGAGGGTCACGTCAATTCCTGTATAGAGTATCTAAATGACAATTAGTCTTATGTAAATATTTTTGAAACATACTATTGAAATCAAAATAATACTATTTCTTCATATGAACATGTGTCTTTGAATTCACCCCCTCCAAGCTACAGTCACTGTAAGTTAGCTGAAGAAAAAAGATATTCTCTGAAATTTTAACTAAAATAACGCATCCAATCTTCTGAAAATTGGTAGGCCCCTTTCCTTTCAGATACTTCATAATATTCTTTCTTCAAAAATCATGTGAACCCAGTTTTGGGGGGAAGGGGTTGGAAGGAAGTCCTCACTTTCATTGGCCAAAATGGGGTGCATTTCATGACACATGTTTATATTGAGAAAAAGTCTTAATTCGATCTCAACAGTACGTCCTTGAAATATTTTCATCAAATTTTGAATCACCCTGTTATAGACGTAGATGTTTTAAAAGAATAGATAAGTATAGGTTACAGCCACTACAGCGATGTGCGAGCGTTTTTTCAATATTTCCGCTCATGAGCGCAAATGCTGTCAAAGAATGACATTTCTGGGAAAACGTCAACTTTGTGTTGGAATTTGAAAGCGTCAAAGGCTACTTTGTTAAGCGTTTGCAGAAAAAAAATATTTCTCACAGCTCCCCTTTGAAATGTTCGAAGAATGTTTCAAATGTAAACGTTAAATTCATTCTTCAACAATATTTACTTAATGAACCAAAAAGAGGCAACATTGTACCAACCGTACAGAAAAAACTATTGAAAAAGGCAAAAATTCAATATTTTCAACAACAACAAAATATTTCGAAAACGGTAAGACTCTTATAATGGGAATGTTGTCATATCAGGTGGGTTATCCTCTGATCTACATTCTCCCCATGTTTGACGTGATATTGACGGAATACCCTGTATACTATGATAGACTATGTTTTTGGAGCTCTCAACCTTCCAGTAGTTGCACGCGGAGTATCACTCCAAACGAATATAAAACGTGAGTTTTCTCGAATAAACTTCTTACCTTATTTCGCCGCACTCAGCACCTCTCTAAAATGACGACTCCAGTACGAATCGAGTATTACCGATGTGCAAAATTGCTTCGTATTCGAATTTCATAGCGTAGTGCGGAGTCGTACTCCGCAGCGACCCTAGACGTCTTAGTTATATTGCATATCATTGAAGTTACACTTTGCAGCTATTTCGGGCGTTTTAGGCAAAAATTTTGTCCCATTTGATGAATGATATTTCATAAGATACCGTTTTGTAAACACACCTGATCGATGCTACTGTGATGAAAAAAATAGACACACCCAATTTCATTGTAGTACATGTGAAATATTCATGTGCTTATTAGAACCCGCTTTATTCATTTGCAGAGATTGCCATTGGTGGTTCGAGATTGAAACATTTTCAGTTTGTCCTCAAATTATAGTGTTTCCGTTCGGATTCTAGATATCAAATCTTTGATAGTTGCCTTATGTTAATTTTGAGTTTTGTTATCGAATAAATATATTTTTATTGCGGTTTCGACATTTCACGTCATGGAGATATTTATGTCCAAAGGCATACTAATGAAATCTAAGGAAAAATTCAAGTCATCATGCCTAAACACCCAAATTCCCTATTGCGGAGTCAGGCACCGCAGCGACAGACTATATGTCGTTTTTAAGGCGCGACTACTGGAAGGTTAAAAACATAATAGAACCCCAACGAACGCGATCAACCTTTACCTGTGGGATCTTTCACAGCCATCCCGAACTTGTTGAGCACCTCCAGGTACAGCATGCCGGCCGAGGCAACCATTCCGTGCGCCAGCACGTGCACGATCACCGCGCACACCAGCACCACCCATCCCCACCCTCCCTCTGGGTAGTAGTGCTGCTTCAGGGTGAGCAGCTGCCTCAAGTCGGCGACCAATCGGACGGTACGGCTAGCCTGCACCTCGTCCGCGCCAGAGCCCTACCAGGAAGATTCGCAACAACTGTCATTCGCTTAGTCGTCGAGGAAACTTTGTATCGATATATAAATCGTTACTCGCTCTTAAGTCATTTTTGATGGAAATTATCAAGAGTTATTGATATACAGGTAAGCAAATGAATGTAAAACATTTTAGGGGGTGATTATTCATCGAATAAAACTGGGATCTTCCATGTGAAGAAACTTCATTGGAGCATCCCATGTTAAGATTGGCTTGGGTAAAAAGATCTTCTTCTGTGTGGTTTTTTCATATTTTTGCAGTGAATGCAGCCGAGGAAATTGAAGTCGTAGAAACTCAAAGAATTTGAGATTTCTGGTAAATTCGGAGTTGACTCATATAGAGAGGATTGGATTGGATTCTGGTCGCTGGACAAAATGAAGACGAGTTCAGGTGAGTGTACAGTATATACTTCATTTGATATCGAATCTGTAGAGTTAACTGTCACTCTCAACTGTTCATGGCCTCCTAAGTAGAGAATCCACGATTTTCAATTCACTGAGCCATATTGCCATGAATTTTGCTCATAATTATCACCTTATGTAATGTACTAGGACGAAGGTCGAATATCTTCTCTGTTTGAGCAGTTAATGTAAGAGTATGGTGTCTGCAGGCTCAATATAACTCCGGGTATTTTGAAACAATCTGTTTATTATTTTTTCTTGTCTTTTTCTCATAAGTACCTAATTCATACTTGCATGCAAGCAAGAGGCCAATTGCTTGGATGCAAGGTTGTTCTTGGAAATAATTCGGCAAATACCTATATAATTTTTTTGGGAAACATTTATTTAGTGAGGGTTGCTGGGCTGTGTGCACGTGTATATATATACCAAGGAAGGGAAGTGTTGAATTTCGTGCAAGATAATTTATTCAAATTTATACTCGTAGCAGAGCGCTTTCGACTGTTAAGTCATCATCAGTGCATACTCGTCAGGTTAACAAGGAAATTTGTCCATAAAAATATCTCTGGTCCAGTTTAAAACCAACGACATTTTGGTAAAATACGGTACAAACATATGTGTTAGAAAAGGGGGGTGAAAACAGATTACATTTTGTTAAGCAGCCATTGTCGCTGCGACATGACATGAGTGACCTCATCAAGTTCACTTCAACACGTCTAGATGGAAAATTCTTGGGTTCGAATCCCTACCGAACCTCATCCTATTTTTATTCTCCTTCGTCCCTGAATTTACTGTGAAGGCCGATGGTGATTCGCTTATTCACTGATTTTTTGTTGGCTGTGAGCGAAGTTCTTGACTAGAAATTCTTATTGTTCGGAATTCTCGAATCGAAGTGGAATCGGTGTCACACCTGTCGATTCCGGAGGGACAAATAGCGTTCAGTTCGAAATTCCATCTACATCAAAGTCTACTTCTTCTCATGCGCTACTAATTCGTTCATTGATCAATGAACAATCATCATGAACGCATGAACGAATTAGGTGTTTCGAGTGTTACGAGGGGTAGAAGAGGCCAATTTTGATGCCGTGAGGTCCATTCTTCTCATCAGTTGTACTTTGACTCCACATGACTTCAGGCGATCTTTATTTGTTTATTGATTCTCATTCAATTATAACCAAAAAAATTGGATTTTGTTTTGTGCATGATCGGACTGAGGTGGATTCCCATGAGGAAATCGATGTTCTCGTAGTTGTAGGTGGAGGTGGTCCAAAACCACTAAGGGTATGACTGATTTTATTTATTCATAGTTTTTCGAATGATCGCTAGAAACAAATCAGGCCCGCCATATGTGATCTGCACTAGGAAATTATGATTCCAGTGGGTTAACCACATGGAAATTATAGATTTTTCTCGTGATTGGAGATGGTTCAAAACCAGCAAGGGTCGAATGGTTTTCATCTGTTTATTTTTTCTAATTAATCATCATAAACGAATCTGTTGTGCTATCTGTGGTCGTTACTGATAATAGAGGATTTTCATGAAATAAACTACCAATGTCATTATTTCTCAAAGACCAGGAATAGGTGAATATCATTTATTCATGATAACTTGCATTCTATAAGATCTCCAGCTACCTACTACTGATTCACTTCAAACAAGAGTTTCAACCAATTCAATCCTGTATGTACCGGGTGGCCAACTAAGAATGGACGCCGGCTGTATCTCAGAAACTACACGTCGTATAACTCTGAAAAAAAAATTACCGAGTAAATCGGCCAAGAGAAATTGCTGGAAATTAATTCCAAGTTCGAAAAATGGCCGCTAGAGGGCGCATTTGCTATGGCCAATCAGAAAACTGGATTTTTCTCAAAAATATGCACGTGAACAGGTATTTTAAATATTACTATTGAAGTCACTGAAGAATTTGTGATTTTTTTTTCAAATATCATTCTTCTCTATCTCATGAAATAAAGTGGTGGGGGGAGGTTGAACTCGAATTTCTTAAAACAAAGATAACTCCGGTTTGGGTTAACGGAATTCAACAAACTAGGGCTTGTTCGAAAGATCTTTTCTTCCTAAATAATCTACAATATGAACTTTGTCTCAATAAATTTTGCCGTGGTAGCTAGAGGGCGCTGTTTGACATCGTGACAGTTATTGCGAGTTTTCATGAAAATTTCAAATGGAAACCTAGGTATTTTTTCACATAGTTAACAAGAGAACAAAATTTCCAAAAAGTCAGCGCAAACCGCTAGTTTCTATCTAACTTCTAACGGGAGATAATGAGGCAAATAGAATACTGCTATCGCCTAGGCCTAAAATAGTCAAAAATTATTCTAGTAGGCTATGAAACAAAAACTAGTAAATAGCAACGTCAAAATATTGAAACATCTTGGTTTTATATTAATGTCATTTAGATGCAATTTATCCTAGTTCGTCCTTGATTTTCCATATAGGCCTAAAATAGTCAAAAATTATTCTAGTAGGCTATGAAACAAAAACTAGTAAATAGCAACGTCAAAATATTGAAACATCTTGGTTTTATATTAATGTCATTTAGATGCAATTTATCCTAGTTCGTCCTTGATTTTCCATATATTATAGGTATTTTTTGTGTTGTTCGTGTTTTCCCTATAGTTTGTGTTTTCTTGTTGCGTCTTGTTGTTTCTATTAAGTTTATATCGTTCGGGTTTTTCGTGTTGCTGTTCATGTTGTTTTCTTTTATCATTCTGAACTGTTGTTTACTGTTATTTTCTTCTTAAGAAATGATTTATTCAAACGAAGAGTTATTTGACATGGTAGGAGTTTATTTTGAAACAATGAGAAATGCTACAGTTGCTGCGAGAGTATAAGCGCAGCGGTATCCTGATAGACGGCACCCCAGTAAAAAACTTTTTCTAAGAGTAATCCACCGTCTTCGAACAACTGGAAATGTTCATTTACCTGTATGCCGTAGACAACGCAGATGTTGAACCGAAGAGAACATTATTAATGTGTTAGCTTATATAGAGTTTAATCCTCAACTCAGTACCAGAACTATTGCGAAAAACCTTGGAATAACTCGAACTACGGTTCAAAATATACTTAAGGAACAAAGGTAAGCAATTTATTGATTAAAATTGCTATTCTATTCAAGTTATATAAATAGAATTTCAGTCATAAAATTCGAAATACGTTCGATTTTGGAATTCCAATAAAAATTTTATTTTATACTCAACTAGATTTCAACTTCACCTCTATCTCTCAAGAATTCAATGAAGAGTGATTTCATGAATCGAAGGCTATTGGAATGTCATTCCTTTAAAACCAATGACGAATCACGAGATTTGAATTATAATATAAAACATTATTAATGTTTTTTCTTTCATGAAAACCATTATTGCCGTATTGAATTAGTTGCCTTTGTCTTGTTTTAGGTTACACCCATATCACTTAGTCCTGCATCAGGCATTGAGTGCTGAAGACTTTGACCGACGACTGGATCATTGTCACTGGCTTCTGGGTATGATGGCAGAAGATCAGCATATTCTTTCCCGCATATTGTGGACAGATGAAGCCACTTTTCATAGTAACGGAGGTGTGAATCAACACAATATGCACTACTGGTCCAGAACAAATCCACACTGGATGCAAGAAGTCCAGCACCAAGGTCGTTGGTCGGTCAATGTTTGGGCAGGAATTCTAGGAGGGCGAATTATCGGACCTTTCTTTTTTGATAACCTCAATGGAGTGAGCTATCTACAATTTCTAAGAGTGGAATTGCCGATTTTGTTAGAGGATGTGCCCCTTGGAATTCGACAACAAATGCTATTTCAGCAAGATGGTTGTCCAGCTCATTTTGCTTTGAATGTGCGGGACTTCTTGGATACCACATACCCTGGTAGATGGTTAGGACGACGCAGCATATTTCCATGGCCAGCTAGGTCACCGGATTTAACATGCCTCGATTTTTATTTATGGGGTCGAGTAAAAGATATAGTTTTTGCTAACAGACCTACTACAAGAGATGATATGATTGCACGAATAAGGGACTGTCTACAAAATATTCCAGTAGCAGAAGTAGAGAGTGCAGTTGGTTCCACACAGGAAAGAATGCTGAAGTGCATAGAAAATGATGGACAACAGTTTGAACATCTAGGACGCCATTGATTAAATTGGAGTAATTCGATAAATTCAATTCAATAAATATTTTTTTCCAAGGTTCCGGATATAATAGCATATAATAGCAATTTTATTTGTTGCCTAATTATCTCCCGTTAGAAGTAAGATAGAAAGTAGCGGTTTGCACTGACTTTTTGGAAATGTTGTTCTCTTTTTAACTATGTGAAAAAATACCTAGGTTTTCATTTGAAATTTTCATGAAAACCCGCAATAACTGTCACGATGTCAAACAGCGCCCTCTAGCTACCACGGCAAAATTTATTGAGACAAAGTTTATATTGTAGATTATTTAGGAAGGAAAGATCTTCCGAACAAGCCCTAGTTTGTTGAATTCCGTTAACCCAAACCGGAGTTATCTTTGTTTTAAGAAATTCGAGTTCAACCTTTCCCCACCACTTTATTTCATGAGATAGAGAAGAATG